ATATTCTCCCGAAATTTAAAGTTAAAAGTGATCAGTATATTAACTGATCAATTTAAATATATGCAGGGGAAAGTTAGACAGATATTTAATGAAAACAATCTCCACATACACAAACACACCCATGAACATCACAATTTAAGTAGAGGTAGTCCTAAACTTACAACTGAATTGAGCCTGGCAATTATGGTCATAAATCGTAGTGGAAATAAAAAGAGTAATCCACAGTAGCTGACCTGATTTTACAACCTTTGTGGTGGTTGTTAAGTGAATGCAGTGGTCATTAAGCAAACCCATGAACTATTTAAAGTAAATGTTAATTTTCAGCAAAAACGTCATAGATTGCTTGTGACAGCAAAAGGCCATAAATGGGGGACAGTTCCTGACACTCAAAATGTGATCATGTGACTGTGGGAACCGGCCATCAGAACTGGGTCAGGATTGGATCATAAGTACCTTTGGGGAGGTTCAGTCATAAATTTGGTCAGTTGCTAAGCAACCAGTCACAAGTCGAGGACTGTGTACTGGTATCATACTGGAGTCGGAATGGTTGAGATCCAGACTCTACTCAACTCTCAAAAATATGGAAGTTCTCTTGGTGACTTTGGGCCAATCTTGTTGTTGGTGACAAAAGTAGCTAAGAGTTTTGCAAAGCAGTTGGAGAAACCCTGGGATCTATTTTAATAGTCAAACATAAACATCAATAACACAGCTTTTCAAAAGATGCTCTCTGGGTGCTCTTCAAATATGTTGGGACTATAATTTCCCAAATTCATAGATAGAATAAAGTTTTAAATAATTAACTATGCAATCATTGGGTCAAGTCCAGTTATCCTGTTTAAATTCAGAAGACTTAAATCAATCCCAAATTGTGTCTGTATATCTTGGTCTGGCAGAAGACTCTTTCAGTATAGTTCCATAAATGTTAAGTAAGGGTAATCCACTCACATTCCTAGGAACTTACTCCCAGGTAAGTACAGGTAGAGTGCACTGATACATCAAGCTCTTTTTTCTCAGGTCTCCTCCTGCTTTTAATAACCTCAGTTTGACACACATACACCCTGGGGGACCTCAGAATGATTGCAAGTGCCATATGAAAAAGGGAATTATCTTTTGCTACCCCCAATGAAAGAGAAGTAAAAGGTGCTATCGATATTGCCAAGGTCAATTCAAATAAGTGTTTATGGAATGAAATCCCAAGGGTGGCTTTGCAATGAAGTCACTTTTCTCAGTCACTTTCAGTTCATTTCTACGGTCCAAGAGCCTGTCTGATGAGAAGTGTACGATGGTCCAACAAATTATCATATCTCAAGACCTAAGATGGACACCTAACATCAAAAAGTCATCAAAAAAGCACAACAAGGAATGTTCTTCCTGAGCCAACTCAGGAAGCTCAAACTGCCCAAGGAACTGCTGATACAGTTCTACAGAAGAATTATTGAGTCTGTTATCTGCACCTCTATAACTGTCTGGTTTGGTTCTGCAACCCAATAAGACAGACACAGACTTCAGAGGATAATCAGAACTGCAGAAAAAACAATTACTACCAACCTGCCTTCCATTGAGGACCTGTATACTGTATGAGTCAAAAAGTGGGCTGTGAAAATATTTACGGTCCCCTCTCATCCTGGACATAAATTGTTTCAACTCCTACCCTCAAAATAACACTATAGAGCATGGGCACACAAAGACAACTAAACACAAGGACAGTTTTTTCCTGAATGCCATCACTCTGCTAAACAAATAATTCCCTCACCACTGTCAAACTATTCACTAAGGCTGCATTACTATTACTGTTAAATCTTCTCATCATTCCTATCACCCATCTCCTCCCACTTATGTCTGCAGGACTGTAACTTTGTTGCTTGTACCCTTACAATTTATATTGATATTGATTGTTTCCTGATTGCTTATTTATACCCTATGACTATCATTAAGTGTTGTACCTTACCATTCTTGATGAATGTATTTTATTCTCCTTATGTACACTGAGAGAATATGCACCAAAGACAAATTCCTTGTGTGACCAATCACACTTGGCCAATAAAGAATTCTATTCTATTCTACTCTATTCTATTTAGAGAACAAAGTCAGAAAAAAACTGAAGGAAATAAGGAAATAAATGCAACCAGTTCCAGACAGTGATATAATCAGCATTTGATTGGGGGGAAGGATTTTCAATCTAGCACTTCTTGTTTTGCACAGAGAACCACCCCAAAAGGCAACAGAGTTGTAAAAATATTCACTAATATATCCAATTTCTTCCAGTTACAATACTTCCCATGAACATACACACACCTTATACTTAGGAGTTCAGAGCCTAGTAGAACCATCAAAGGAAACAACATGAGTCTTTCTCAGATTCAAGCAATATTTTGCCATTATCATTCAAAATTAAGAGTAATCTCATGTATTAGTTCCACCTGTTTCTTGTCCAGAGCAATCTACTCTGAAAGGACTCGAAAGGGGCTCCCAGTTTGATAGGAACTCTCTTGTTTTCTGAAAGTGTATCAAGCCTAGCTCCTCAGCATGGATTAAGCTGATGATTTCTTCAGCTACAGCTTTTCCCAGCCATACCTAGAGACATCAAGGAACAAAACTGGGATATTTAGCATGCAAAGCAGGTGCATTACAACTGAGCTATGACATGTCTGGAGTGTGTTCAACAGCAAGATTAAATGCCAACCACCCACAGATGGCCTCATCTTTTATTGTGAAATGCCGTTCATGCTGTACCATAAACTTATTCCTCACTGTAGTCCTGCCACTTGAATTACTCAGTGATCAAAAAAAGGTTATCTAACTGTAGTGCTTGAGATGGTTTTTGTTTTTTTTTAAAAAAAACTTATTGTGATGGGAGGCGGGCGTAAAAGAGAGGCAAATAATTGTATTTTGTTTTCAAATTTAACTAGCCAAATAAACACATCTCCAATCAGCAAGCTATCCACTTTCTATGTCACAGCAATTAACCTATTTGCATGCACTAGATTTCAATTAGCATATATTAGATTTCAATTAGCAATTAACAGAAAATTCCTTTGTACTGCAGAATACAAAAGGTTTCTCTCTCCCCCTCCCCCTTTCTGTCAAAATGCTTTTTGCAAACAAATTCTTTTCAAATCAGCTAATCATTAAGAGAATATACTAAAATATATCCTTCCCGCAGAAGCCATCTAATTTTACTTCTGTTTTGTCTTCTTTTTGCCTTTACTAAGGAGAAGTAGCAAAAATGCATGGAAATATTTGGAGTATCATCTGTTTTCATAATTATGTACAATTTTCTTCTAACTGGTCTGTATTGTTTTCTTGATTACACTAAACAAGTAAGCATTGTTTTTAGCCTAAAGTCTACAAAATTTTAAAAAACACATCCTTTTTCCAGATCATATAGAACACAAGGCTGAAACTTACTTAACCTCCCCCCCACACACACACATGCATTCTTTAAATACCTTTTTCATCCTCCGATATTACAAATGTTGTGCACTGTGCATTTGGATCTAATATGCACCTAACACATAGAGATTTTCATAAATGCAGCTTAAAAGGTATACCAAAATTATTTATTATTTATGTAGATATAAAGCTGAAGTGGTTGGGATTTAGACCTGTATGCAGTATCTAGATATTCACAGAAAAAAATTCAAGGTGATACAAACCAGGAGATTTTTCAAGGCATTGATGAACAAGAAAGAACAATAAAACAAACTCAACAACAACAACAACAACAAAATCTCAATTATTCAGATAACTAGCCCCATCCTTTTCTGCATGTCTGTATGTGTTAAGAAAATTTCTATTTTTGGAAGCTGACTTTTTTGTGAAGAAAAAACGCTCACAGCACAATCATGGCAATAATTGCATTCTACTCCGTTCTCTGAGAACATAATAAAATTTATAGTAAACTATCTCCACAACAATCCTGCCAGGTAAGATAAAAATTAGACAAAACTTCCTTCAAGACCTTCAACAGAGAAATAGAATTTTGCTGGTAAGTAATTTTGAAATGACAGCGGTGCCTGGTCATCTATTTTGAATACTAACAGATTGTCCATGTTTTATGGTATGTAGCATACCAGAGTAGCAATCTCAAAAGCCTTTGCCAACCAGTTGTATTTTACCACCGGATTGAACTGCTTGTTCCCCTACCTGATACATACATATACACCCACCTTTTTAACATGCACATCCATTACTCAATCACTGCAGGGTTAAGCAAATGTGTCAATCTACCAACTTCATAATGGTTAAATTTTCATCTTAACTTCACGTGTCAGGGGCATAACATTAGCTGACTGCTTGTTCAAATACAGAACTTCCCCAGTTGGATAAACAGAGTGATGGGGTAGGATGTGATGTGTGCATACTGATGTGTCCTGTTCAGGGCACACTGAAAAATAGTGAGATTTTGGATATCTAATCTGAATTAGAGTTGCTATCCTCACAGAACAGTAGGCAAGTGTAATGAATGGAAAAGAAAACATATATTGTGTGGACAAAGCAAAGACACACATCACTTTGTGGGACCCTTCCAGAGTGTTATGGATATATCGATCTATGCAGCCCTAAAAGTCCGGAAAAGACGGCTATAAATATATGGTCCATGAGCCGTTAACTTTCTTCTCTTGTTCTCGGAATACACGCCGGATCTCGGAGATCGGACAATATTTCAGCACCATGGATAGCGATATGACTCCTATTTAAATCTCGTGGCCATCTACCTAAGCAGAAGCCCAAGATCGGGATGTCTCGGAGAGACAGACCGTCATTATAAAACGGGGAGGTATGTCATGATCCCCAGTCCGCCATCACGTTCGTTGATCAATCCCCATCAGATAGCAGGCGCTGCACGGAGACAGCGTCCAATGTCACCTTTCCGAGAAGCAAAGGCTCGATCAAGACTCAGCCGTCTCTCAGCTTCCCACCAATGAAACCAAGCCAAACATCCAACAACCACCAAACAATGCCCCCTCCCCGTCTTCCCCTACGACCCCGGTTCTTACCTGGGATGGCCAGGTTTGCCAGCGGCACGCTGTGGATGCTTGCGGGCAAACTTGCCATCCAGTCGGCGAATTTCAACTCAACCTTGCCTTGCGACGAAGCCATACTCGGTGCCTGCCAAGGAAACCGCTTGCTCGCTCGCTCGCCTGGCTCAGCCGGTTAAGCAGCAGCAGCCGCGGCAGCCCCTCCTCCTTCTGCCGGCTCCTGGAAGCCAAGCCGCTTTGCTCGTCTCCAGCCCTCGCTTTGCTAGAGAGAGTTTTTACGCGCCACGCTGCGCCACGCCCACGGGTGGATGGCGCAGGCACGTGCGGACTCTACTTATTTATGCCAAACCCGCTGAAGGGGGCTCGGCTGGGAAAGCGCCAGTCCGTGGAGCGCAACTGCCGCCCCGCCACCTCCCTTGGTATTTCCGAGCGCATCTTCCGTCTGCTTAAAACTCCGCCGAAGGTTAAACGCGCGTCTGGGGGCCTTGAGACGAACCCTAACCCTGGATCGCCTCCTGGGGAAGGTCAGGCCAACCGAGAATCAACAGCAGGCTCTTCTCCCCTATGGTGCCACTGGGAGAGACGGGGCACATACGAGAAGGAGGCATTTTTCTCGGGGAAAATAAAACGTGCGCAATCTAGAGGAAGAGACAGCTTCCTTTATCTTGCGCCATCATTTTAGCACCTTGGCTGGGAGGATCCTTGGGCTCAAAAAAAGGCGCATTTCCATCCTACTCGCATTCTTTCCCCTACTCCGACTCAAGCGTGCCCTGCCGTTAAAGTGGTTTGTGGGGATTGGGTTTACGGAACGCAGCCCTCAAGGTTCAACCATACCATTGGGGGTGCCATCTTGTCATACCCTGCTGCCTGGGAGAAAATCCATTGTAAGGCTGTAATGCAAACTGCCCCTTAGGCACTTGCCTGCAAGGAGTACAAAAGGTTGCATGAAGTTGCATTGTGGCATCACGATGTACATTTTGTTGTGATGGTTAGCTGCCAACATTGGCCATGGTCTTTCTTTCACACAGATAACTTAGCTACGGTCCTCCAAGCTCCAGTTTTAACAACGGCCATGTGTCCTATGGAGGTTTGCTTTGAAGACAGCAGGAAAATTACTGGTAATACTCAACATAGCTGCAAATCTTATGTAGCGCATCCTTTAAAGAGCACTTGTCACTTTTCCTCTACAACTGTATGGGCTACCTACAGCTTAACAGGTGAACTTGAAAGATCTAGTAATGATGTTTAAATAGCATTAATGTTTAGTTTGTCCAAGAGCATATCCACAGAACATTCAGATCTGCATAGATGAATCTTCACAATGACCCTTGTGATTTATATTGATACTGATTGCTTCCTGATTGCTTATTTATATCCTATGACTATCATTAAGTGTTTTACCTTATGATTCTTGATGAATGTATCTTTTCGTGTCTTTTTATGTACACTGAGAGTATATGAATCAAAGACAAATTCCTTGTGTGTTCAGTCACACTTGGCCAATAAAGAATTCTATCCTATCCTGTCCTGTCCTGTCCTGTCCTGTCCTGTTCTATTCTATTCTATTCTATATATAAAAATTAGGGAGTGTTGAGGGTCTTCTCTGTTGTGATATTCATTCTTTGAAATGATCTTCTCCTTTTATTTCTGAGACTTCACACTCATTATGTTTCAAGGGATGTCTTATATCTCTCCATTAATATTACATTTACTAGTTTATCATTATTAGTGTACTATTTACTATTAATATGCCAGTTTGGTGTAGTGGTTAAAGCAACAGGCTAGAAATCAGGAGACTGTGAGTTCTAGTCCCACCTCAGGCATGTAAGCTGGCTGGGTGACTTTGAGCCAATCACTCTCTTTCACTACAATTCACCTCACAGGGTTGTTATGGGGAAAATAGGAGGAGAAAGGGGTATTAAGTATGTTAGCTGCCTTGAGTTATAANCCCTCGCATCCTGGACATAAATTGCTCCAACTCCTACTTTCAAAACGATGCTATAAAGCACTGCACACCAACACAACTATACACAAGGACAGGTTTTTCCCGAACGCCATCACTCTGCTAAACAAATAATTCCCTCACCACTGTCAAACCATTCACTAAGGCTACATTACTATTAGTTTTGTCATCATTCCTATCACCCATCTCCTCCCACTTATCACTGCACCCATCTGTTCCAACTCATGACTGTATCCTTATGATTTATATTGATAAGAGCAATTGTTTCCTGATTGCTTATTTGTACCCTATGATTATCATTAAGTGTTGTATCTTATGATTCCTGATGAATGTATCTTGTCTTTTTATGTACACTGAGAGTGTACGCCCCAAAGACACATTCTTTGTGTGTCCAATCACACTTGGCCAATAAAGAATTCTATTCTATTCATATTCAGTGACAAAAGGAAAAATCTGAAAACTTAAATGGGTAAATACTTTTGCACTAAACTGAATGCATATAATAGTTGGAAAAATACAATTTCCACTGGAGAGGACAATACTGCTTCATACGTTTGTTCCCAAAAGTGTAGATCAAATAAACTGTATCTATTTCCTGAAGCATTCTTGTTTGAGGCATTTAATTATTAGGGTATTGGTGCTTTCTGAGCTTGGTTTTCTTGCTCATGTTTCATTACCAGGCTAAATAACATCATCAATGTGAGCTAAGTAACATCATTAGTGCACACTGATGATGTTAACCAGCCTGATAATGAAACATCTGTGAGAAAACAACCAAGCTCAGAGAGCACCAAAAGCTAAATCGTTCAGCCCGGAGGTACATTTGTTGTTTTCTGTTGGAATATTTAATTATGGGTTCCCTTGGTTGGCCTTCGTTGTTATTAAAATAACTTGGTAGCATAAATGTTGTAGAGAATTTGAAAGGGCTACATTGACCATCCAGAAGATGATAATGTGCAAAATTGTATATATAGGGCATAATATTAAATAAAGGGGAGGGGGAAAATAAGAATTTGGACTAAAGATTGGTATAAATGCCTGAATGTACTGAAAATACTTTTAAAACAGGCCTTCTATTGCTGTGTCACTTCAAATGAAGCGGGGCAATGCAATCAAGAATTCCACATAAGGAATAATTCTGTACACTCAGGGCAATGGGAAAGTTGACCCCTCTCGGTGTTGGCTTCTATATAAAAAAAAGTCAATCTCAATACCACTGCTGTAAAAGAAACTGAAATAGATGAAAATGTGAGAAATTGCATTATCTGCAAGGAAGAATGGGCTGGATTTTACAGCAAATAGGGTTGCATTTCTTATTCATGTATTTTCTTCAAACTTTTTAAATAGAAAGTGATAGGGATTGTTTTCTAGGTCATACCCAACATTTTTTTTTAAAAAAAGCTTTTTGTTGAACTGCAAAAAGCAAGGTTGCCCCTTCAAAAATTATATTTCTCTTTCCATTTTTATATATTACTTCATTTTATTCTGCCATTCTCTAAAGAAACTCAGAGCAGCATAGACAATCACACAGAGAGAGACACATCATTCCAATCCACACACCCTACCTGCTGGGTGGATTAAACTGAAAAAATATAACTGGCTGAAAAAGTATCATAAAGTTTTATAATTCATTTTTTTCTCTTTTAAAATAGAACTTATCTTTCTGTGAAACACAATTAAAATTATACTAAATAACTGCACTCTTGTATGGCAATAAATGTTTCCCAACAAATGTATTTATCAGAGAGTATCTGGAGCAGATTCATTTATTATGAAAAAGAAAATGGTATTGATCAATTACATGTGGGCATACATCTATCAATATTGGCACACTGCTAGTGTGTAACATCTCATCATATTAGGTGCTAACAACCAGATCCACACATGTAGGGTTCAAGCTAAATACTTCATTGCCTTCTGCCTATAATACAGGAATCTTCCCTTGGAAACAGATAGATAAGGTTTTACAGAAATTGGGATGAGGGCAGAGATTAGTCCTGGATTTTCTGTTCCTGTGCAAGAATTCAAGGCTAATTCCCTCCTTGAGTCCTCCTCCCTATCTGGCTTAGTGTTTCCCAACATCAGAAGCATCAATTAAATAGCAAACACATTGATCATTAACAAAGTATTCTGAAGGGATTTTTTGATTTCTATGCTTTCTTAAAATTATTGATGACAAAATTCAAGATGATGTAAGCCAACTTACTGTATGTGTCTGCAACATTGCTTTTCGCTCTCCTCTATCCCTCTACAGCTATCACTTATTCCAACTTTGTCCATGTGAGAATTCATCAGCATTTCACAGCAAAATAGAAGATGCAAACGGAGCTGCAGGAAATGGAAATGTATCTCAGCCTCCTGACCACAACCATTCTTGTGTTGAACAACCTAATAATAAATGTATCCCAATAAGCTCTGCAATATTCTTTTCCAAGGAATATTGCAGAGCTTATTGGGATACATTTTCTTTTCCAAGGAATATTGCAGAGGTAATAATCAACTTGGTTCTTTCTTCCTTTCATTCTCGAGTTTGAACCTGTGTAAGTAGTGTGGAGAACAACAACAACAGAGAAGCAGCTTTGGGGAGCAATATCAGCATTACAATATTTACAGTTGTGTTTTTAACAATAAATACCCAGTTTATCATTCCCCTAGGACAATTCTGTTCTAAAACCCATCTACTCTAAGAAATGGTCTGCATAGATATTGCCAAGATTTATTATTACTTTTGCCAAACACCATGATGTTCTTTCTTCTGCTGTAGGGACTGTTATTCTTTTTATATGGTACTCCCCCTTCCCCAAGGTTTGCAGACCATAAAGAAAGTTTCTTTCACACTTCAAATACAGACATAATGAAATGACATTCTTAAGAAACAAGAATAGTGTAATGGAGTCCTGGGATATGTATGCGAACACTAGGAAAATGAATTTTAAAGACAAATATTGAGTCAGAAATGTTCTGGTAATAACCACTAAATGTTCCTATTTGGAAAGGTTTGGCAAAATTGAAAACACCTTTAGAATTTGGCTATACTTATAACAAATAGATTATGGAATATCAGAGTTGGAAGGGACCTTGGAGGGCTTCTACTCTAACTCTCTGCTTGTATAAGGTTTAAAAGAATTTATTAGAAGGACACTTCTTCAGAATTTATTAGAAGGACACTTTCCAAAAGCCTCATTTTAAAAATATACACCTCTTTGAAGAATTGAGCATAACAGGGGGAAATGAGCAGGGCTACCTTTTTGGCAATATATATACAAATAAAGG